TATGAGCCCCCCCCCCCCGTACAAGTTTCTCTCGTTCAGTCACTGTGGAAAAGTGAGCATCGAGCCCTCTGAAACTTTGGTCGTGGCTCGATTATTGCCCACAGGCACAGCCTAACGGCACCTACACTCATCAAGGGCTGTTGACATACCTGCACGCGAGACCACGATGGGCTCCGAGTCCTAGTCGAGCAAGGGGCGGAGGTCCTGAACCGAATCGCAGATGTGATATCCTGCAAGACTCGAGAGGGAGATAGAGAGACAATAGTCGTGTGATCGCACAATTTGTGTTGTGCGTATTACCTGTCTTCCTCGCTTTGCGAAAGTTCCCGCTCTGCCAACGGATTAACTGTGTTCACATTATTGTTACGTTGTTCTTTGCCCGTTGACATGCTACTACTGTCGCCAAGGCGTCATGTGTAACTCGTGGAAGAGTCCGTCTGCGTCGTTTTCTCGACTTTTCCTGAACATCGAATCGGCATCCTCCTGGCCGTTCGTGCCAAAGACCAGCCTCTTGCCCTGGGACACGAGGTACTCCGTGGTCGGCCATTGCTCGGTCTCACTGACTCGTAAAACGTTGATCAGCACGGTGGTTTTGATGAGGCGGTTCGTTGAACGTGAGGATCTTGTCGTTCGTTTGTATTGCGATTGAGCATCGGCGTGCTGTCCGTGTGCTTGGTCTCTTTTCGACAGGTCGGCAGTAAAAACAAGCTCGTTATTCTTCGAGCGCAGCTAACGCTCGTTCGTGTTTGAGTGGGGTTCAAGATCGATGTCTTTTGGCGAGAGTGTCAGCAGCTGTCGGCTGAAGGCCAGATCATCTGGCAAATACGACAATGCTTGGAACGCCTGCGTAGTACTTGTACGTACACCGCCTCTCACGTTCGGAAACGATTGGACACGGTGTTCAATTTAATGCCAGGAACAACAACAATAACAACAACGACAACTAAAGCAGCAGCAGCACCACCACCAACGTCATCACCACCACCTCCACTCATGACAATAACCAAATTCAATCAGATGGTCCACAACACAACCGCTACAGACGTTCTGGAGAAGCTGTCGATGGAGTCATTTCTAAACAGAAATTGAACAGGTTTCACCTGATTCTGTTCCACTCGATGAAGTCCAAAGGTCCGAAAACACTCTTCGTTCCGAACACTGTCGTGATGTAGTCAGGCAACAGGCTGACCTGTGATAGAATAGTAGTTGAGGCGACCACAACACACTCTTTCACACAATGGTAACGAGTGAGGTAGCACAAGCGGTGCTGCCCCGTTCACGCTGTTTGGTGGTGTTTTGTGTATTTGGTCTTGTGTTCCGGTGGCAGCGAAGTAAAGGTAGTTGACGCTGTTGTCCTTGATCGTGGTGGCTTCTGCGTCTTCAATCGCTAGTTGCGTTGGAAAAGACACGTTTAGTCTTAGTGTTTGTTTTTTTGCGCTGGGGCTTTATTAGCGCGAAACGTCAACGGTCACTGTTCCTTCTCGGTCCTCCATTTGGTTGCCTGAAGGGCATGTCTCCCTCTGGCTCGCTCTGTCGATATTCTTGACCCGTGTCTCGTCTGTTGCAGTCAGGCACCGCATCGCTTCGGCACCTCAAACCGAACTGAAAGTCACGATTTTAACGCCGACACGTGCTCCAAGTCGAGAACATTAAAATGAACCACTCGGTGGTCATGAACCATCGCAAGTACGGCGCAACGCGGCGATGGAACCCCAGACAATGGTGCTCAGTACACGAGAGACCACGCGGAGCTCGTACAACGAGCGTGGTAATATGAATCAACGAACCAAGGCACCCAAATTGTTCCCGATGATTAACAGTTTCCGACCGAAACCTACCGACACGCTCAACAAACGAAAGCAACACACAGCGCAAAGCACAACAATAATACCCACGTTGTCTCCAGTGTAGTCCTCGATCTTGATAAAGAGCAGCTCTTCGGAGTTTTCTGGTAGGTCTAGCCAAGCGGAGATCTCATCGAAGGTTTCCTTCAGCGAAGGGGCTGTGCTAGAACAGCCAGTGTCGTCCCCAAAGTCTTTAATTCCCAGCGCCTGGACAGGGAACAATTGAAACTAAGGCATTCCGCCCACCGATTGACGAGGCGTCATATGTGGGGGTGAAGAAACAACGCGCCTAAAAACATGTACCGCGCCTGCTAAGCCATTCTTGACCTACTACGCATCGATGGCCTTCGACTAAGTTACACGGAATATTTCCGTCGAGTACAAAAATACAAATCTTACGTTTATCAACAGCAATTACTTTTCTTTGAATCACCGCCCGCCAGAAAGGCCAAGGTGGGGCAGCTATGGTCATGACCGTCGTCATAGTCGGGGGAGTACGCGATTTACGACGACGAAACACACACGCCGATGGTGCAACTGCCCTTATATTTGTAAAGTCTGTTGTCTTAAGTGAGTGTGCTAAGAGCGCGTCCAATCAGAGTAGGAACAGCAACAGTACCGTAAGGTTCCGAGTTAGCGCACAGGGGTACGATCCATATTCAAAGCGTAATTTCTTCACAACCAAGAGGGTGCGAGCGCCAACTGATACTTCTCAGAAAAGCTCTTGATGAGATATTTCCAAAACCGCCTAGTTCGACAGTGGTAACCTCCTGGTTGGAGAAAATAGGCTTTGAAAATCGTTTCGCACCCCTGTGCGCTGACTCGCAACGTTACGGTAGGTAGCAGTATTGATTCAATACTTTCGACCTTCCTGTGGCGTTCGTGCCTGCTTCACCGTTCAAAAGCGGGTTCCACACATCGTACCTCGCAAAGGTACCAACGCAGACGTGAACACACTTCGCGTATCTCTTGAGCAGATGAAGGGCGGGTGTGGCACACGAGAGTTGCTTCTTCTTCGCTCCTTCCATCCCGCATGAGCTCCTCCACGTAGTGGATGGACTGCACAACAACGCAGATGGTAAAGTGGAATAGAATAGGCCCAGCAGTCCCAACATTCGGGGTGAAGACACCGTCCGCGAAAGAGTTTCACGTGGGTTTCAAGGCAAACATGCTGATAGTGTCAACAAACGTGCCCCTCAATAAACTCATAGGTAGGCACATGCTACGTGGTACCAGAGGCAGCGTGCCAATTGGCCAACGGATTGCGTTCTCCTCGCTGCCGCCCCTCGCACGTCCTCTTCGGGGATTTCTGTTGCCAAGTACTAGAACACTCAATATGCACGCAAGAACAGGTACAGCCACGTTGTTGATCCTACTGAGAGGGCTGGCTCGGGGCTAAATACCTGCAGTCCTACCTGCCAAAGTGGAACAGCGGTCACAGAGGATTTCTGCTCTGTGTCATACCTCGAGTCCCCTTACTCCAAGGCAGGAAAGCTGCTGTGTGAGACTGTAAACCTGATTCGGTACCGCCTTGGAAAATATGGGTGACGAAGAACGCAATTGTAGGGCGGAGGTGGTCAGTGTCATGTGACGGCGATCGGTTTTCAAGGAACGCCACACAATTGAAAGCTCCATGTGGTCATTCCATGACCAGGGATGGATTCGCTGCGACACACGCAGAGCGCAGAGGGGTGCGGTGAGTCGCGTGGAGACCACATCAACAATCCGTGAGGTAGGACTCGGCGTGATGGGTCGAATAGAGTATGACAGCTGATCAGCACCTATTGTGCTGCGTGACTTGTTTCACGAGTCCCCACGATCAAAAACAAAACAACGACACAACGATTGTGCTGATTGCTCACCGGATAAGGGTCTACTCACACAGTTGCCTAGCAAGTGATACGAGACAGCAGGACGGCTACACGACTACCTCAATCACCGTGTCCTGAAGGAAAAAACATGGAGCGCGTCACGCGAAACAAGACAAGTAAATATCGACTAGAATCTGTTTAGGAAGTGCATCACTGCATTTTGCGGCAAGATGCCAAACAGAGCCACCCATACAGACTTGCACCCGACGTATGCTAGACACTAAAAAGGATCGTTCTTGTTGTGGTTCCTGTGTCCTGATAATCGGCCTCATTCTCGTCGTCTCGACCCACAGACTGGAGGGGATACTGGTAATGACGTCGGCGTTGGCAACGAAGAAGCATGCTGTCGAACAGCTACATTTTTCAGTAGCTATTAGTCGACCACCGCCAAAACCGTTTCTCACCTCCCATTGCGTACTCACTCCTGCCTCTTCGGTGTTGTACGAGTTGTGGGTAGCAACCATTGGCACTTGATTCAGCGGCATATCATACCTTCAACAAATAGAGGTAGCACAAGGTTTCAGACATTGACTATGCAACGTGTTTCCCATGCTAGCTCAACCCTCTCACCCTGGCCTGGTCTGTTCCTATTGGATGGTGTCGAGACACTCGGCAAAAAATTGCCGGCGTTTCATGGCCAAGAAAAGCCCACGTAACATGCATAGTAGCCATAGGGGTAAAGAGTCAAAGAGATACTGTGGTTGTCAAACTTATCATGTAAAAACTCACGGGGCGAAATCAGTCAGTTCAAGATGAAATGATCGATGTATTGCAATCTTTCGGTCGAGGACTTCCAAACATCACGTCGGCACATGCACTTCCTGATGATGGCAAATAGTGACATACGGTAGTTCTCGTTGCAGCATGCATCCATCAGGAGGGCCCTTGATTGGATACTCTTGACTCCACGAGCCGTAACATTGGGGTAAACAAAGGCGAAAGAAGTAGAGCCACAGGCACTGGCGCAACAACATTGGGTTGGAATGAGCACAACGGCCTGTGCGATGGTACGGAAATATTGCGGAGGTGGACCCTGTTACTACCCGGTGCTTCCTTCAATACAGCATCGCAAACGTGACGACCAAATGGCGAAAAAACGCACCCAAAACCGAGCCGCGAATCAAACTCGATTTCGTCATAGAACATTCACGTCAAGAAGCGCTGCAGAGAGGATACACGTAGCAGCCAGGGCGACGTGTTCGGAGATTGCGTAGCGGTGCCAAACCCGGGGCCGAAACTTGCCGCGTTCACCACCCAGTACCACCGCAAGAGTGTGTTTGTTGCGGTTGTCACTGACGACACAACACCCCACCGCCGCCAACACCACCGTTTATTACTTTCGACCGTCATCCGCAACTCGGTTGTTCTAGCTCCTGCTTGAAATCCTCCTTCTCTGTGGTCAGCCCCGACGTGTGCCGAGACGTAGCACGCACGCTTTCGGTTCGCAGAAATGTCGTTACTACGGCGGAACACGGGGGCATTTTTGGAAGAACCTCTTTCTATTATGCACAAAAGAGTGTTTTCTACGATGTCAACGTCTCCGGAGGCTCGATCGGTTGGGATATTGTAGACATTGAGCGCGACACTGAAATGGAGAGCCGGCGGGCTCCTCGATCGATCGTAGTTGACGAATTCTCAGATCATTCGGGGTGGTGCGGGAACTGTGGTGTATATATACAGAGCCTTGATGCGTGACACGTACCTAAACACGTACACATGAATAGGTGCACTCTTTCAACCGCTGAGCCCAACCTACTGGCTGGACAGTCCCGTGTCCGAGACCGTGTAACATCAGGAAAAATATATACACACACAGAATAACTACCCGTTCGAGATATAGACTATCTACCCACAGCAGTCGAACGGGATGTGGAGGTCTTGGAGTCTTTTCAGCAAAGATGCCGGTTGTCAGGTTTGACGCCCTTGACAGACGTGTCAAGGACGAACGCCTACACGATTATTGGTGTATTTCCCAAAAAGACGCCCTTGACAAGCCTGTCAACCCCTGTCAACCGACATCTTTGCGCGGAGTATGGGAATCTCCGCCTCCCCCCCTCCTCCCCTCCCCGGGGGAGGCCGAGGCCCGCAAGTGCAGTTAACCCTCGAAAAACCACCCAACAACGACGGATATACGGTCCCTAGCACCGTTTAGGAGAGGATCCTGAGTTTGGCGGTCGGGAGTTACCGCGGTCACGAGATCGACGTAGATCGCGATAAGCCAACTTGGAGACAGCTGCCGATGGGTTTGAACCTAAATGCCCCGGTTTGGACGCCGGGGCAAGGCGGCAGTGGAGAGCACGGAGAGGGTAGCGGGATGATCGCACACCGTGTGGGCAAGCACCTAACAGGGGGACGGAAAGGGTCCAGAGCTGGAGAGCCAAGCCGCTCCGGGACAGGAAGACACCTCGCTGGGAAAGGCAAGCACCGGGTTAACTCTTACATTAACCCGAGGATCCGCAGAGCAATAAAAATAAAGAAAATAAAAAAAGGAAGGAAGAAGAGGAGGAGGGGCCGGAAGGTGCGTAGGCTGATTAGGGATGCAGCACGCACCGCCCGGGAGAAGCGGCAGGGTCGACTTGTTAGGGTAGCAACCTACAACGTGCGTACACTGGCCGTGAACGGGGCCAACGGCTATGGGAGAGCCGACACCGTTGTACACGAGGCAGCGAAACAGGACATTTCGTTTGTCGATCTGCAGGAGGTCAGGAGACCAGGGCAAACGGAGTTCACAGCATCCGGTTTTCGGGTGTTCACCTGTGG